ACTTCCCTCACCCCCTTCAAGCTTTTGCTCAAATGTCTCCTTGATGAAGACTCCGACGCACAGAAAGGGGCCTTGGTGGTGCAGTGGTTGGTACCAAGCGCTTGGCTGCCAACTGAAAGCAGGCAGTTCAAACCATTTCCACAGGAGAAAAGGCCGCAGCTCTGTTCCACAGAAGTCACAGCCTGGGCGACGCTATGGAGCACTTCTATCCTGTCCCACGGGGTCTCTGTGAGTCAGAACTGACGGCACACAGTGACCACAAAAATCCACAAAAACGCTAAGAAAAGATACCAAGGGGGCACAGAGGGTAAATACATGTTAGGGGCTAGGGAATGGGGAGGAATATGCAAGGTAGAGGGGGTGGTAGGTGGGCTTTGGGCTCAGGCAAAATGGACCTGGGGTCATCCACAGCCAGGAAGGGAATGCCAGCCAGCGCCAGTGAGAAAAAAGGCGAAAAGTCAGCCTTCATCCTACAGCCCTTTGAGCTCAACAGTCCCCATGTACCATTTTTAGCTCTTTTCTTCTTGAAATGTCATCGCTTAAGCATCACCTATTGTGTGACTCGCTTGCTTTGGACGTGTCACCAGGAGGAATCAGTTGCCAGAGGGGACAGCATGTTTGGTGGAGCAGACAGCCAGTGAGAGGGAGGCCCTCGGTGACGTGGACCCACCCAACAGCCGCAGTGATGGCCTCACACCTGCTGCCTTTCCTGAGAAGGATGCAGCACTGGGCGGAGTCCACTCCTGCTGTGCATAAGGTCTCCCTGAGTCGGAGCTGACTCCACGGCAGCAAACAACAACAGCAGCCGTCACCTGCCTGGGGTGTGACATCACCCCAGTGAAACAGAGCCATTCAGAAGGCAACTGAGCATCAGGTGCAGAGTCAGAACCCCGTTTCCGTTACGAAGAAACTGGAGTCAGAACATGGAGCTGTTTCCAGGGCCTGGCCTCCCGCCCAGTGTTCCTGGCCCTTTACCTCACAGAGAGAACCCCAAGGTGTTAGTCCCTTGGGGAGACCTCAGGGATCATGGGGCCTCCATGGGCTCGGCCCTAACACACTTACTCTAGCCTTTCTTCTTCTTTTCTTCTAAGATCAAAATCTCGCTGAACGACTTCCCAGATGTGCTTGGCCTCTTCGTCAGTTAGTTTGGAGAGATCCAGTTTTTTCCCCATCTTGGCTTCTCGTCAGGGTCACACCTGGAACATCACAGGATTGTAAGGGTCAGCCTGAGGAAGCCCTCAGATGCCGGCCAGTTCAGAGCAAGAGGCACAGCCATGAGCACCAGTTTCCCCAGGGTCTGTCTGGACCTGGGTTGAGTAATGTGTCTTTAAACAGGCGAGTGTTCCTCAGGACACCTGCAGAATTAAAAAGTGAGTCTGTGTAAATGCCACTCTCCAAGTTGAGAAGACTCTCCTTCCCACCTTGTGGAATGTGGGCAACACAGAGAGGAAAACACATTCAGCCATGGGTCCCTTCCTCCCCTCCACAGGGAAATGGTGTCCATGGTCTCAGGATCAGACGACACGTTCCTTTCCCTTGTCACATCATTGTGCCCTCAATGAGCTGGGCAGACATTAGCCACAACAATGGATGGGATCCCACCCACCATCGTGAAGGTGGCTTGGGACCGGGCACCATTTCTGTGATATGCCAGGGCACCCTGAGTTGGCACCAACTTGACAGCAAGTACCCACCACCACAACACCGTTGTGCTTTGTGTTTGCTTCTGAGCCAAGAGGAGATGCAAACCCCATAGATGTCCCATCCCCCAGGCTTGGAACCCCTGGGGTGAGGGGCACAGTGCAGAGAGAGGCCAAGTTCATGGCAAACTGAGCGCTGAGTGTCCTGTGGGCCCTCTCCCCTGAGTGGCATTTCAGTGCATGGCACGGCCTGGAAGACTGACTCACTAAAACCCCACCATCTGGAAGATTCCACTGTCTCCTGAGCTTGGGGGGCCATTCCAGTTTTCCATCTGGTGGGAGCAGGTGAGGAGAGTGCCCTGAGTCCCCAGGAGGCCCCCACCAGCATGATTCCCAGAAGAACTATGTCCCTGTGGTTGGAACATTCACACACTTTCATGGGGGGCAGAAGTGATGGGAGCTGAGAGGAGAACCAACAATCTAGGCTAAACCACAGACGAGCTCTCCTGACTTGAGGGATCTCACCTATGAAAAGTGATTCACTCCTCGTTGACATCAGCATCATCTGGGAGCTTAAATAGCCATGTCCACACCCCACTTGAGAGACTGTGATTGGATTCAAGTCTCAGTAGAGGGAGAAGCAGAAAACCAGCTGTCATTGCATGGAATCCAGCTCACGGTGACCCCACGTGCTCAGAGGAGAACTGTCCCGTACGGTTCTCAAGGCTGTGACCTCTCAGAAGCAGACTGCCAGGTCTGTCTTCTGAGGTCCCCCTGGGTGGGTGTGAACCGCCAACCTTTCAGTAGCGGCTGAGTGTGTTAACCATTTGCAGCACCAGGTGCTCCCCAGTAGAGCAGTAGACCCACTCAGTGCTCTGTGATGTATATTGCTAGATGACCCACTGATTAGGAAGGAAGCTTCAGATGCTGTGAACGCCCCTTCTGAAGTCCCCTAAAACTGACCTCAATCAGTGTCAAAGGAAGAGGAAAGAAAATCCAAACATCAAAAACCAAGGTAAGTCTTCCTATTCAAGGTGGACCAGCAGCACTGCCTGGGAGCTTGCTGGGAATGCAGATTCTCAGGCCCTGGCCCACACTTATTGACACAGAATCTGCATTTTAACAAGACTCCCAGGTGGTCTGTGCACATTAGGACTTGCCGATCCTACTGGCTCTCAGAGTCCTTTGAGTAGCAAAGCTTTAGTGGAGACTTACTGTGCTGGGTGGGGAAGGGACAAGTCACAGAGAGCTTTAGTCTGAATGTCCCATGGGGTGGATGATGGGTGTCTGGGATTATGTGAGATGTAGTGGTGGCCATGGTGGTGGTTGAGCAGAGAATGAGGTCAGGCCATCTTGCTGGTTTTCCATACAGATTAACTAGATGCTGATGTTGACACTACTGCTGGGTAGAAAATTAGAGGTACTACCATACCAGGGAGGACTCATCTTTGAATGTGTGCACAGTGGGGCAACACTGCAAACTTCACTCACTCCCTAGACAGGACCTCCTTGACCAACCAATGGTTCCACTCCTCACCCCCTTGCTCCCTGTCCACCCCCACCCCCATCTCTTTAGGTCTCTCTTCATAGCTCCTACCAGCTGAGGAAGTTACATTAGTTATTGTCTGTCCAAGCTTCATGAAGACAGCCACTCTGTCTCTTTCCCTGACTAGACCAGAGCAGGTCCTACAGGGGGCCCTAGACAGGGAGCCCGATGGCCCAAGGATGAGGCTGCTTTGCCCAGACCAGGCTCGGAGGCTCTGGGAAGTTTTGTTTGGGTGATGAGTTCCACTGTGGGTCACTGAAAGTTTGAAAACCACTGTGTGATATCAGCTGGTCAGGACTTAAATCAGTCTTTTCATGGATCTCAGAAAACAGGTCCACTTGTCTGCTTCCAGTGAGAAACCCTGAAACAATCAAGACTCAGTTTTCTCCTGGGTCCTGGAAGTATCTCTTGTTCAGTGCTGCTGACCGTTGAAGGCGTCCATCAAGATTAGGAAGACCTGTTCTCTGCTGGAAATGACCTTCAATTTGGCTGCATAAGAGGTTAACTGTTGAAAAAAAAAAGACCTTTTCTGGCAGCACTGAGAGATGATTATAAATTAAATTTTCTACAGAGGCCCTTTAGCACCACGGCTACCATCTAAAATGTTCCGTGGCTTGTGCCTTACAATTGGTGACGAACGATTTCTTAAATGTTTTGCACAAGTCCCCGGTGTTTCCACTCTCGAGCACGATGCTGCCTGTGCACAGTGTACTAGAGGGTGGCCAGAGTCAACTTGAACTTGGACAAGAAGACGTTAAAACCAGCCTCACTCTTGATGTTCCTGTAAAGCCCAACGTTTTTGGTCTTTAAAAACTTGGGACAAAAGTTCTTTTCTGATGGATGAGTGTGGTATATCATATTTACTTTTCACCATTTTTTGAAAAAAAAAAAGTGTCATAGGATGAGCATTTACTGAAATTCTATTTTCAGAATGGACAAAATGACCATGACTATCAGCTGACTGGTCACCACTCTCTATTTTTCTAAAGTGGGAATCAAAATTCCAGGCCTCATTTTAAACAGCTGAAGTCCTGAAGTGCAAGGGACAAAACAACAGGAACACAGTGCGTTGTTCTCACCCAGTGAGTTTAGCGTTCACAGGCATGGCCGATGTGAGCAGGAAGTAGCCTTCCATAAAGTCACCATTGAGTTAGCTAGGGAAGAATATTGACTATAACGTGGACTGCCAGAACGGTCATCTCAACTTCCACCATTCTCCACTTTGCTTCCCGAGACCCTGCTCGCCACCTGGGACCTGTCCACACACAGAATAAGGGTGGGGGATTCCGGACAGGGGGGCCGAGGACATGGCGGTGCAGGGTGGCTTGGGACCTGCCCCGGCTGAGGGGTCACCTGCTGGAGGCAGGGGGCTGGGCCCGGCATGATCTGTTCCTTTTTCAACTTGTGTGCAGATAACTCCTGGTCACGGGGTCTGTGCTGGGTCAGCTGCTCAGCCGGAATCACAATTTTCATCTTCCACCAGGGCCTCTCTCACCGCTGAATGGTTAGGGGAGAGGGCCAGGGCCTCCGACTGCCCAGCAGGAAGGAAGTACTGGTTTGCCATTCCTACCAGCAGGCTAGCCCGGACCCAGACCCCTGAGTCAGCACCGTGTCATCTATTTTTTGTTGATTTGAGTGAAAGTTTAGAGAGCAAATTGGTCAGCCGTTCAACAATTCATGCGCACCTGGTTTCTCGACACTGCATGCCGTCCCCACAGCGGACAGCATCTGCCCACTTCCTCCCTGTGGCTGCCATTTCCATCGGACTTTCTTTCCTTTCTTCTCCTGCCTCTGGTCCCCTTCACCCACGCAAGAGCTGAGCATTTTGCCCAAAGTGAAGAGAATGCCAGGTGTTGGGAGCGGTGAGGGGCTCTGCCTAGAGGGAGACTTGGCTTCGCCTTCTCAGGCCAGCTGCTCCAGGGACCCTCGGAATAGTGGTGATGATCGTCACCTGGTCCCCCCAGAGCCAAGGGAGACAGGGAAGCAGAGTCAACGTCCTGGCTCACTTCCCACCCCCCAAGGGCCAGGAGTAGATTTTGACTCAGAGCCCAGGGGTGTGGCTGGTGTTCTTTCTGATAAAGGGGAGGGTGGTGGAGGTGCCTCTGTGTTAACCCCTTGTGGACATTTCCAAATGCTACTCTTTAGCTGGGGGACAGGCTGGTAGGCGCTGTGAACCCAGCCTCCACCAGCTGCAAGGTGAGAGAGTTTGTACCTAGGCGTACTGTGGGGCGGCCCCGAGCACCCGAGCTCTGAAATGTCCCCAGCAGCAGAGCCTGCCCACATCTCTTCCTCATCTCCCAGATCCCCAGGCTTTTTGGCAGGGGACTGTGAACCTCTTCTGTGTGAACAGAGGACCTGTCTTTGTGTTCCCAGCTACGCTTCAGAGGCGCATCTGCGGAAACAGCCCCTGGCAAGCGCTGAGATTGCACCCTGCCAAGCTCCCAGACTGTCCCCTAGTAACTGGACCATATGATCAGCTCAAAAATTCAAGTCAAACTTGTTTATCTTTTAGTAACACATGATGGCACTGCATGACAGTCCCAACTGAACCCTCCTTCCTTCCACTGATGGAAGCTGGTCCGTGACCAGCTCCAAGCCATTGTCCTCAGTGTCTCCTCTGTCCTCACTCAGCAGAGCAGCCCCCCACCTTTTGGGCAGAGGCTGAGCCTGAGCCCGCGGTGCTGGACACGATGCCCAAATATTTCCCCGGGAGCTGCAATACCTCGGACACGGCCGTGTCTGCAGCCACCAGCACGTGCGCTCATGCCTGGCCCACCGCATGGTTGTTCCTGGCCGCAGAGAGAGCAGTGTTTTGGAACAGAGTGCAGAGGGAGGGGAGACCACTCTGGAGACAGCCAGCCAGCCAAGGCCACTCCAAGGGGAGGGCAGTGAGAATGACAGGAGCCTCTAACGCAGGAGGGACAGTGGGCCGTGAAATGCAGTCGGTCTGGCCTCCTTGGGGACGCTTTTCCAAATCCCTTCCACT